GTGAAACTGGTGACTATCTAAAATCTGATTGGCTGTTCTATTAAATTTCACCAGTTTCACCACCATTCACCAAGAGTTTCACCAGTTTCACCAGCATCTATAGTTACGATTCAATATATTATAAACAAGATAATAAATATTTAATTATATATTATTATTATTTGAATTCAATAGATATCATGATGCCAAATATGAATGGATACGAGTTATTAAATGTGTTAAGATCTAATGAAAAAACTCGGTTGATTCCTGTAATACTTTTGTCCGCCAAAGCTGGCGAAGAGTCTAAGATCGAAGGTAACTCAAAAATCATTACATTTTATGAGATTAATTTTCTTTTGTTTTCAATGTATTTTTTACTTTTAGGTCTGGATAGAGGGGCGGATGATTATTTAATAAAACCATTTTATTCTCGAGAATTAATTATCCGTATTCGTGCTAATATCGAGCTTTCATTTCTTCGTCGCAAAATATCATTTCAACAAAGTAAACAAGAAGAAACAAAGCAATTATTGCTTTCAATATCGAATAAATTTCTTTCCGAATTAGATTTAAATGAAATTTTGCTAGATATTATTAAAGAAATCCATCGTAAAATATCATGTGAAAGAATCTTTATCATTTCGAACGGCCAGTCTGAATTTAAGAATAACAAGATAGTTGCTTTATATGAAGGATCAGAAAATATAACACCAAGGACTAATCAATTAACTGCAATTAATAATAAAAGTAAATCACAGACATTAAATAATTCACAAGAATTTTTAAATAGTGATCCAGGAACGAATATTTGTTTAGACGTATATTGTGATGATATTTGTAAAAATGTATCAATATTATCTGTAGAAATAAGGTTGAATAATATCTGTTGGGGATTTATAAAACTACATAGATATCCAAACTCTGTTTGGCTCGATTCTGAAATTGAATTATTACAACAAATATCGAATCAAATAAGCTAAACCAAAACTTACTTCCTTTTTCTAACTCACTTTCTACTTTAATTTCTCCTCCATTAATTTCTACTAAATTTTTGCAAATTGAGAGACCAAGTCCTGCACCATACTGCATTTTAGTTATTGACATGTCTCCTTGTGAAAAGCTTTTCCAGGCATATTTTATATATGCTGGATCCATGCTATTATAATATTAATAAATAGCTACATATTAGATGATTTTATGTTAATAGAATACATAATATAGAGTATAATAATTAAAGTGTTTTACCCAATGCCTGTGTCACATATTTCAATCAATAAACTTCCTTTTTTAACAAGTTGACTATAATCTGACTTATCTTTGTTTTCATCAATGACTTCTTGTAATT